TATTCCTCTGTATAGAATGCTGCTTTTTACTCATTATCACTGCTTCAGAAAAAAAAATTTTTTTGAGACAGAGTCTCACTTTGTCGCCCTTGGTAGAGTGCCATGGGGTCACACAGCTCACAGCAACCTCCAGTTCTTAGGCTTAGGCGATTCTCTTGCCTCAGCCTCCCAAGTAGCTGGGACCACAGGCACTCACCATAACACCCGGCTATTTTTTTCTTTTGGTTGCAGTTTGGCCCAGGCCAGGTTTGAACCTGCTACCCTTGGTATATGGGGCCAGCGCCCTATTGAGCCACAGGTGCTGCTCTGCACCAGCAATTTGACTATGATGTGCCCTTGTGTGTGTAGTTTTTTCATGTTTTATTCTTTTTGAGGTTTACTGAACTTCCTGAATCTATGGCTTTGTAATTTTCATTAAATTTGGGGAATGGCCATTATTTTTTCAAACATGTTTTCTGTCTCTTTCTCTCTTTTCTCTCCTGGTGGGAACAACCTAAATATGCATTAGCTGATTGATAAATGTGGCATATCCATACAATAGAATTTTACTCAGTCATAACAAGGAATACAATCCCAATACATGTTACAATGTGGGTGAACCAGTCTTAAGAACATTATGCAAAATGAAAGAAGGCAGACACAAAGATCATATATATATTATATATCTATAAGATATATATATATTTATATATATATTATATTTTTTTTTCTATGAGACAGAGCCTCAAGCTGTCCCCCTGGGTAGAGTGCCATGGCTTCACTGCTCACAGCAACCTCCAACTCCTGGGCTCAAGTGAGTCTCGTGCCTCAGCCTCCCAAGTAGCTGGGACCACAGACGCCCGCCACAATGCCCAGCTATTTTTTGGTTGCAGCCATTATTGTTGTTTGGTGGGCCCGGGCTGGATTCGAACCTGCCACCTTAGGTGTATGTGGCTGGCGCCTTAGCCGCTTGAGCCACAGGCGCTGAGCCGAGATCATATATTTTTTTTTTGATTCCATCGATATTAAATATCCAGGATAGGCAATTTAATACAGACAGAAAGCAGATTAGTATTGCTGGAGTAGGGGATAACAGAAGTGGCTACTTAATATATATAGGGTTTCCTCGTGGGGGGATAAAAATGTTCTGGAACTGGTCAGTGCTGATGGCTGCACAACATCATTAATGTACTAAATGCCACTGAATTGTACACTTTAAGACAGTTACAATGGTAAATTTATGTTCTATGTATTTTATCACAGAGTCTCCTTATGTCACCGTGGGTGGAGTGCCATGGCGTCACAGCTCCAATTTTTGCCTCAGCTTCCCAAGTAGCTGGGACTACAGGCACCTGCCACAATGCCTGGCTATTTACTTGTTGCAGTTGTCATTGTTGCTTAGCTGGCCCTGGCCGGACTTGAACTCACCAGCCTCGGTGCATGAAAAGGTCCAAGACCATGTTATAGTCCCAACTGCTTATCACGTGAGGCTGACTTTCCTAGGCCAGCCTTGAAGAAGGGAGGTCTCCCTTATTTAATTAATAAGGTTTCTCACCCTTCACAGATAGAGCAGTGAGAGTGAGGGAAAGAAAGCAAGCTAAGACAGATGTAACTTGAGGTGTGGCGGTGGTGCCTGGGCACTGGCTGGCTGGGCAAAGTTTCTTTCTCCATGGGCTCCTCGGACACTCCTGGGAGTGGTTTATCCCTCTCTTCCCCGTCACTCCATCCTCATCCTCATCACCAGGTGTCCCTCAGGATGATGCTTTCTCCCTGGCCCTTTGCTCTCTCCTCCTTCACCTCAAGGAAACCCTCACCTTCTGCGCAGGCTCTGAGACCACCGCAGGACGCAGGCCAGCTCTTTTGCATGCACTCTTTGCCCCAACAAACTCTAAGAGTCGGGGCTGCACAGATCAGCCACCTCTCCCTTGCTCCATCTTCAAGCACTTAGCCAGTCACTGGCAGCTCATCCTTTAGGGATCCTGCCAGGCAGGGGTCTGCCTGTCTACCAGATCACCTCCCCACAGGGGACACTATTCAGCTCCATGGAGGCCCTTTTCCCTAGCCTTGCAGTAAGGGGTAGGTGGCACCCACCACTTTCCATAGTCAGACTCCAAACACACCAATAACTCTTTTCAAAGGAATCTTCACCCAAAGCCTCTTCCTTTGACTGTAACTCCTGATCCTTTTTAAAAAGCTTTAGCTTTGGCTCGGCGCCTATAGCTCAACCGGCTAAGGCGCCAGCCACGTACACCTAAGGTGGTGGGTTCGAATCCCCAGCC